CCCGCACACGCCGGAGCCAACGCCGACGCACACGCCCACGACCTGGCCTCATAACTTTGACAGTTGCCCCAGCTGCAGCCGGAACGTGTCCGGACTCTGGACTCTGGCAAGCTATCGAAATCACAGCAGCGATGACAGTGGCAGGAAGATCTAACGCTTCGATGGGCAACACGTGCAAAGTCAAACAATGCGACTAGAAGCATTTATTGTTACAGCGAACAAACTTGAGAAACTATAAAGCCAACTTAGAGCATCTTCGCCCAGGGCCCTGGATTTATTTATGTTGAAGTGTTGTGCCCCAGTTCGGTGTCAGTTGCAGACATGCTACGGATACCGGCTCCGTCCTGTCCTGTTCTGTCCTTCATAAATATGAAGTCCACCTACACCTCCTACACACAGAGGAGTCTTCAGCATCGGATCTGGGAGGGGACGAAACAATAATGCTCGTAGAACCAGCGAAAGAATAGACAGGCAGATAAGAGCCAGAAAGCCAGCTAAAAAAGTTTCATAGCCAAATGAAGATTGGCATAGAGATATGCACGTGATTGGAATGTAATGCCGAAAATTATATCGAACTCCTGTGGCGTGCACAATCTTTGCCCAAAACAATATATGTCATCCACACACACTAACACACGCACTGACAGGGGGATTCACACTCACACATGCATACATACTCACACATCCGGAAGTAGCTGGGCCAGAACAACCGAAAGGCGGCAGGCAGCGGCACAAGTTCACGTGGCGAATAAATGGCCAAAGAATTGAGTGAGTCCCATAGAGCAGCAGCGAGCGGCACTGGTAGCGGAAAATAAAATGCACATTAGCCAGGCCAGAGGCGCTCAACTGCCAGAAGCAGCAGCAGCGGGAGAAACAGTGCCGGACATGGCTAAGAGGAAGGAAATTGTTACGTCGACCGAGGTGGAAAAGCAGCCCAAGCAGGCAAAGCAGGACCAAAAGCCAAAGTGAATGCGGGTGTTGTGAAAGAAAAGCGCAAATCGAAATAAATAAATAAAATCAAATGTGCTGTGCACAAGAAATGTTCCAGTCCCTGGTCCCTGGTCCCTGGTCCTTGGTCCCGGCCTCGACCCGGTTAGGTAAATGGCAAGGGCAGCTACTGGGGAGCTCTGAAATAACATCTTATGAGCGTCTGGAGGTTATGTACATACATACATACACACATACATATATACGCAGCGTACGTAACGAAAACGGAAACAGAGCGATAAACTTTTGTTAGTGTAGCCCATGCCAATCCACACTAAGGGACCGACCGCGAGAGCGTAAAAGTGCGAAAGTGCGAGCACGGGAGAGCTCTGCAACTGCCACAGAAAGACAAAAGCAAAGCGCGTCCAAAAGGAGGTACGGTGTAAATGGTCGGCCAAGCCTCGCATTGGCTCGCTCAGTGCAGCTCTCGCTGCCCAAACACACACCCAAACAACAACAGAAAGGAGCAGAACGAAACTCAATTCAGATTCAACAGATTGCCTGTGGTGTCCTGTACTGAACTGAAATCTCTATGAGGACACTCTGCCTTGTGCAATTTAAAGTAGACGGCGACCCTGATTAAGTGGTCGCTGCTGTAATGCAATTTGCTTTAATTTCCTTGGAGCAAACGAAGACTGATTGGGCGCCAGTGTGCGTTTCGCTCTGTGTGTGTTTCGAACAGTAAATCCAATAAAGAATCAATGGCTAACAAGCAAAAAACAAACCGAAATAAGTTTTGGTGGCCTTGGTGGAAAATCTTAATTTTCCACAACACACAAGACGTGACACATTGCTCTAACCAGAGCACTCGCACCAGCCTCAGCAACCTGGCAACATGGCAAACTCTGCACAACTTTCTAGAGGCAACTGAGTGGGTGTGTGTGTCTGGTTGCGTGAGTGGGTCATTTGATGGCCGTTTGTCTACATGGTTTTTATTTCTTGTTGATTCTGTAGCCTTAAAACCAATTTCGTCTGTATTTTCGTCACACGCCACTTGGCAAATAAATATCCAAGTTGTAGGTAGTTCCTTCCTTTCTGGAGACCAACAGTTAATTCTCGGTCTCGGATAGCCAATATTTATTTTGCGGTTAAGGTGCCGCCGAACCACTCCGACATAAGCAAGCATGCCCAAAAAGGTGTATTTTCTGGTAATTAAAATGACATTGGGGACCAATTAGTCCATCAGTAGGAGAGACCAAATAGCAGCATAACCATAGCAATGGAAATTCTTCAATACACAGCAAGGAGCTGGGATCAACCAATGCATTGCAATCATTGCAATGATAGGAATTCGCGAGAACATAAAAAATATTTCAGCAGTATGATAGTATTTTATTAATTTATCCGCTTTGTAGTCGAGTACAGGTGCATGTCCTGTACGAAGGACCTGCCAGACACGTCCTAAATACACTTTTGTCGTTTGATTTATAGTTGGACCGAAACTTTTGGCAGCCCGCAAAAAGTATTTTGCATGTGTTGCGATCCCTTTCTCTGTGTCCATGTAAATGTTCCAGTGATTTGTTTAAACAAACGTCCAGTTTTGTCTGGGTGTGTGTGTGTGTGTGTGTGGAGCAATTTGGCTTCGCTCCGTGTTTCGTTTGCATTCGTGCGCTTGTCTCTAGAGCTGTCAGGTCCAATCTTGAACCAAACGGAACCTGAACCCGGATCGCACTTCTTCTAGTGTTTGCCCCTCTTTGTGTCCTTGTGGGTGTGTTTGTGTGTGTTCCCTGTATGTGTGCCTGTCGTCGTCCACTTGTCATGTCACTCTGCATCATTGTCGGTCCAGACAATGGCATGCCCGACCAATCTGCTCTCCTCCCTAACAACCTGGCAGCATCCCATTCCCCTTCCCATCTACATCCCGTCGCAAGCACTCGAGGGGAAAGCTACTTTTCACCCACTGCATTTCATTTACATTTCAATGGCGGTGTAGAAGAGAAGGACGAACCTTTTCTGTTGCCTTTTACAGGACAGGACGGACACCGCTGACAATCGTAATTTACCGTTACAAATCAATGGCCCAGTTATGGATCTAACGAGTCCCCGACGCGTCGGTGGGTGGGAGTTTGATACATTTGAAAGATACATTACTTAAATATACTGAAATATTTTACGAACAATTTATGTTAATTTTGTTGTTCGTTTTCCTCTACTCGCAGGCCACAGTTTAGCCATAAAATAGGCGGACCAAAGAGAGGGAAATTATAAAAGAAACGATAGTTTTTGGGACCGAAGTTTGGCATACCCTTACAGTGCGGCACTCATTCAAGAACAAATATACTTTTATTTTGACCGGTCCCTTCCAAGCCTAGAGCCCCTCTACAGGCAGATATTACCCATCCGATCGAAACTAAGGGAATGGGGTTCACAGAAGAAAATCTACATGATTATATTATATCGACAATATATCCATGTAGCTCTGACTTCTTTGCTCTATTAGGGTATGGCCACAAATACCACAACAAGTGGAAAAGCGAGGAGCATATTTTCATGGAACGACTTGTATATATATGCGCGATTTTTTCTACATTGACCGGTAATCGTTTAGCTATCTGAACAGACACATATAAGCATGCACGAGTACAAGTGCGAGTATCCTTGGGTTTGTACGTGATGTGGCAAAGTTTTTCGGGTTCAGAAAGCGAGCAATAACTGGGGAGTTGTGGGGTGGAAGATTGGATGTGGCATGTGTGTTGTGGGTGGTGCGTGTGTGCTAACATTTTGACAGGCAGGACTTAAAGTTGTCAGAGCACTCTTTAGCCATTCTCTGACAGCCCGGCTGGGTGCTGCATGGTGGATCCTGGATGCTGGATTCTGTTGGCTATTGTGCTTATTAACATATTGTTTGTTATTTTCCCTCATGTCGCGCCATTGACAATTCATTTGTGTTATCACACGCACACATACGTAAAGGGCTTAGTGACATAACAAAACCCCGGGGAAACTGACAGAATTGTTGAGGGAAGTATTTGCACAGATTTCTGATGCTGATAGCAAGTGACAGCCAACAACAACGTAAAGCCATCAATGAATACAACAACGAATCTAAGTTTAAAATGAGCCACACTTCCCATAGACCTTTTCTCCATCTGGACAGATACAGGCATGGAGAACAATTTTCACTTCATCCCACTCCAAACACCTGGAATATACGAAGAACCTGGAATTTAATTTTAGTAATTTAAGCAATTTTGAGAATTCTAAATAATAATATAATAGAGCAGGAACTATCCCCATGTTCAATCTCTCGCTTAGAATGGAGGCAGAAAACCAGGAACCTAACCACCTAGTGTGACGACTGCACTTTCTCGAGCGGCACTAGCTGCCAAGTAATCCCTCAGCATGCAGTCTGGTGTCTTCCAATCGGAGCCAACACACTATTGTTTCCCGTGGTAAATGCATTAATTATATGAACAGAGATTTATCTCCGCTTGTCTATTCCTTTGTGCTCGTTTCCGTAGGGCTGCCTAAGAGTCTTATAATCGCAAAGTATAACCCATATTCTGGTGTAAGCCACCTCAGATTTCTGCAAGATAGAATCCAGCAGCTGCTCTCACTACCCCACAGCCCACCCACGCACACACATGCAGCTGCACCCACCCTGCTTGTGCCCAAATTGCCAGCCACTTAGCCAAAGGCATGCCTTACTGCAAAGACGTTGCCACCAATGGCATTAGCTCTTCTCTCGCTGCTACCCTACCTACCCCGCTTGGTCCGATGCGGCACTCATGTGGCAGCTCGTTATTATTAGCATAATTACAGGCGTATTAGCGTAGCGAGCTTCAGGTGCCTGGCAATTTACCTGCCCGTTTATGACACGGCCTAAAAGTGTGCCACATGCTGAGATGCAACGCTGGCAGCGCTGCCCTTTAAAGTCGTCCTTAAAGCAGACCTTGGCTTTATGCAAATGGCATTCCCTTTTCTTGCTCCCTCTCGCTCGTTCTCTTTGCCATATACTCGTACTGTTCATTAACATGGCATTAATTAGTTTTTCATTTCACTTTACTTTGCAGCTTTCGCTTGATGTTCACGCAACAGACGCGTCACGACTTGCCGCATTAGACGGCAACCCGACAGCAGGACCCTTTCTGCTCTCTGGCCCGCGAAGGACAGCCAACCAATTTTTAGATAAGTCCGAAGCTAAAATAAAAATAAACGCCCTGAACAGGGAGTCAAGAGAAGAGCACAGGCGAAGGATCAGCAGAAGGACGACAATGCGTTTCGAGCGCATTTTACCGCTGCTTTGGCTCTGGGCCTGGACCTGCCTGGGGCCGGCCACAGCCTATCCAAACACGCAGCAACAGCAACAACACCAGAAGCAACAACAGCCGCTGGTCACCTATTCGACCACCTCAACCACATCATCCAGCCAAAGCAATGGTCGTGCTTCTGGACCACTCCTTCAACCCGCCTTTGTGTATGACGCGGCCATGCCCCAGCAGGACGAGACATCCCACTCCCAGCCAAAGACAGAGGCATCGCCATCAAAGAAAGTCATCGGTTCCAGGTGAGTACACACACTGGTTTTTGTTGGCATTCGCGATTTTAGCTGCTATTGCGTCAGGGACAATGGTCAGTGGATGAATGGATGGATGGATGGGGGGATGGGGGAATGGAGAATATAAGGAATATTTTCATTTGCCTCTTTGTTTCCCACGCCCACTTGTACTTGGCCATTGTTGCGCCCGTTTCAACCCGTAGTTACTGTTGCTAGGGAAAATCTTTTGTTTGCACAGCTTTTTGCCATTTTTGCCACTAATTGAAATAGAATTTTCCTGCTTTTCTGTTGTTGCTCCCACTTCCACTAAGGCTGAGGTTGGGGCTGCTGCGATTGAGAGTCGTGGGTCGGTCGTGGGCTCTGGTCAGTGCGGGCACATGCCTCAGTATTTTTAATTAATTTCCTCGCCAGCCACAAAGCGTGCAAAACGTTGCATACTTCGCGGCCTCGCGCTTCTGAAAGAAAAGAGATGGAGACAGACAAACTGTGAGATAAAGAGAGAGAGAGAAAGGAAGAAAAAGTGCGAGACTAAGAGATTCGGTTGCACAGCTAATTGAGTGCTTAAATTAAATCATTGCTAATCAATTGAGTTTCGGTGAGTAATGCTTTTGATGCTACCAGACTATGGCGCAGAATTCATATTTCCTTATCCTTTAGCGCTAAAGAAATGACCAAAAACATTTAAGGTCAAATAATGTAGGCGAAAAAATAACAATTTACATTTTTGACAGCGTTTGTTCATGGTCTCCTTTAAGTTTTTTCCGCCGCAGTTGCAGAGGTCTCCGGCGCCAGCTGCTGGCACTGGGCCTCCCTGCCTTCCATGTGCCGATAGTGACTGCGAGCTGTTGTCACTGTCAACGGTACGGGTGATAGTGATGATATTGCTGACAGCAATGCAAATATCGTATTCCGATCCGTCGGTCGGTGCAGCAACATTTACTTGCATTCATTTGATTATTTCTGTCCAATTAAAACAATTACAAAAATTTACTTGCCAGATATTTTTCGAGCTGTGCGCCACAAATACGAGTAATGCATCCATTCTACACATCTATACGGCATGTACTTAATGCTTTCTTCAGATTGAATTCGGCTGCAAAATTTATTTAAATAATTGAAATAATCATTTTAAGCCATGAGTCTAAAATACACTACTATTAGTTTCAATTTGGAATTTGGAATCAATTTTTGGTGTTAGTGCTGAACATTTCTCTAGCTTTCCTGGCTCTAATCCCACCCCAAACACAATTCCGCGCTTGGCTTTTCCATGAAGGGATTTCTTTGCATAGCCCTGATGACTCGGACGACCTCTGCAACCTCTGCACACGCAAATGTACCTACATCCATGGCTGGCAGTAGCACATTTGCATAGTGCATAGAATATACAGACACGCGGATGGGAATGGGGATGGGTATGTGGATGTTTGTACATATGTAGTATTATGGAAGCAGGCAGCTGTATATGACTAAGCACGCATCGACTCACGTGCTTAAATGTTAATGATGTGCTCATGCCGCACGCGGAATTACTTTCATTCTGCACACTCGCAAATGGAGACTCTTGTGCGGGCTAAACTTTCAGCAGATGCAGATGCAGATCCATTCTGGGGCTGCATGCTGGAATGGGAATGGCGGAAACCGTCGACAGCGTGACTTTCAGCAGGAATTGCACAGTTTTCCATTTTCCATTAAAATGCCAGCGTCTGCGCCGAAAAGCATGCAGCATGACTGGCATAGATGGCGAGCCAAAGGACACTTTCCTGCGGTATATATAATAGTAGTCCTACCACTGTGATTGACGATTTCTCGGAAACTAGGTGGCAGGAGGCATTTGCAAAGGGAAGACGTGGCAAGGATATTACATACAAATAGAGTAGAACTAGAGAAGACTTGCCATTAATCATCATTTGACGTCACTAACATATGTTTCCTCCCTCTCCCTCCTTCTGTTAGTGTGGCCTCATCGGTTGGAGCAGTGGTGCTGGATGGCAACGAACCACAATTCACTGACGCCCTGGGCCACAAGGTGCCCAAGCCGCAGCCCTCGCTGCAGGTGGCCAGTCCCATAGATCTGCTCAATCCGGACCGCTATGAGTTCTATACGTTCGACGAGCACGGCGAGCTGGTGAAGCGTCTGATGACCATGCAGGAAATACAGAGCATTGTGGCCAACGGTGACGGGGAGGGTCCCTCCATCATACACACAGCTCCGCCGCTGTCCGAGCCCAATCCCGAGAAGAATGTCCAGGACATTGTGGACAGCGTGCAGAGTGTGCTGAACAAGGAGGTGGCCTCCAGCTCCGCCAAGAACAGTTCCGGCGAGCTGCTGCTGCCCCTGCTGGACACCCCTGATGTGTCCTCCTCCTGGTCGCTCATCCTGCCGGCCATTTTCGGCAACACGGGCGGTGACCTTTTCCTGCAGCAAAAGCCGCAGCAGATTGTGATGACGCCCGAGTCGGAGCTGGTGGAGGCCTCCACCCAGGCGGCGCCATCACCATCCCCCTCGCGGGCCACCAAGAAGCCGAAACCCGCCAAGCGGAAGCCGGGCAACAAGCGCAAGCCCCCCAGCACCAGCACCACCGAAGTGACGCCGCAGGTGGTACAAGAGGAGCTGGACCCCATGGAGTCCGTGTACACGGGCATGCAACAGTACCAGCACGTGGCCGCCAACATGCAGGACTTCGATCTGCTCCACATGCAGCCCATCTACCAGAAGCTGCCCAGCACCACGGACAAGCCGGAGACAACCACCCGCCGAGTGTTCTACAACAATCAGGAGATCATCCACACGCCCACCTCGTCAAGCAGCGCCCCCTCAACCACCGAGAAGACAGTCCTTAACCACACACTGGCCAAGAAGCCACCAAACGTGCACAGGAAGCCATCGCAGCCACCACATAGGGTGAAGAAGCCCACTAATGGGGTTGAAGCGGAGATAGGAAGTGGCACCACTTCCCTGCCCAGCGGCGGCAAGCAAAAGGTGAAGAAGAAGACAACAACAACAACAACGACAACAACGACAACACCACCACCTGTGCCCCCAACTGAGGCAGCGACGAGCCAGCCTGAGCCAGAAGTAAGCGCTGCAACAACCACAGTCCGTACACCTGCTGCAACCACGCCCAAGAAGAAGAAACGCAAGCCCACACGTACGCCAGGCACAGGCACTGGAGCAGCCAGCAGCAGCAAGCCATCGAAGCCCAAACGCAAGCCAACCTCAAAGCCCAAGCCAGGGCAAATACAGGCGGCAGAAACAAGTGCACCGCAGGTGCAGGTGGTCACCCAGAAACCAACAAGGCCCCAGCGTCCAAAAAAGAAGCCCAAGCCTACGGCCACACCTACGCCTACGCCCATCACGACCACTACGACGACGAAACCAACCACTCCAGTGCCAGAAACAACAGTCACATCAGCCGCAGAGGCAGAGCCAGGTCCCACACAACCCCCAGTTGTGATCTCAACCAGTACCATGGCCAATACTCCAGAGCCAGAGCCACAGACAGAGCCGTCGACGTCAACAACAACAACAACGACAGCAGCAACAACAAAGACAACGACAACGACAACCAGGCCGCCCGTGGTAAACAACCAGAAGCCGCATGGAAAGCCAGTGAGCTCCACCAAGAGGCCACCAAATCTTCACCACAATCGCATCCACAGCAAGCCGGTGCACACGACTCTGGCCACTCTGACGGAGGCAACTAAGTCTGAAAGTTATGGACTGGTCAATATAATTGCAACTCAGGCCACAACCACAACAACCCACCACCCACCAGTGTATCCTGTGCCAAGCTACAATAAAGATGCAGCTCAAAATTTATCCACTCTGTTCGCTCATGTCGATCATTCCCCCCTGAAAAAGACGCCGTTGCCTTCGTTAGCGCAGCTGCAACAACAATTGCACCAAAGCTCGCCATCACCAGCTCCACAGTTGTCTCCAGACCAGATGCTCTCGATGGATCAGATTGTGCAGTCCCTGACACAGGACCTCTCCGCCGCAGACAAGTCGGATGGTGATGATCTCGATGGAGCGGGCAGCGTGCCAGCTCTGGTCCCAGTTAAATACGAGAGCGCCGAGACCCCTGAACAGATGCAGACGTTGGCCAACAAGAAGAAGGTAACAGTGACCAGCAGTACGACAACATCAACAACGTCAACAACAACGACTCCCAGAACGACGACTACTGTCGGTACGACGAGAAAGCCACTCATCGCTCACTATGGAGGAAGCACTTTGGCCACCATGCTTTCGGAAGAGGAGGAGAGCAGCGAAGTGAAGCAGTCCACAGACTCAGCAATGGGAGATAAGACGATAACGACACTCAGCAGTCTGGAGGATGAGCCGGAAGAGGAGACTCCTGTGGTACTGATCACGGCCAGACCGCAGTACTTCACTGTCACCCCGCAGCCAGTTCCCCTGAAGCCGTTTGTTCAGACAGAGAAGGCAACCGAGGAGGAGGAGCCAGAGACCACGGAGTTGCCTGGAGAGACGCAGTTCCTGGTGACCACGCCTATGGCTAGTCTGGACGAGATCGAAGCGACCACCGACAAGCCCGTAGTCGAGTCCGAATCCGAGTCCGATCATGTGGTGAAGTTTGAGCCGCTCTATGCGGATGTGCCGGAGGCAATTGTCACCGAGCTCAGTGAGCCAAGCTCCACGAATGGATACAACCAGAAGACAGATGGGGCAGGTGAAGAGCAGGAAGTACCGACCACAGAGCAGGCACTGCGTCTGCCTGTCTCGGAAAGCAGCACTGCCGCCGACATCGATGCGGACAGCACCGAGGTAACGCCCATGATAGCCGACCTGGTGCAGCAGCTCAATCTGGAGATGCTGAGACCGACGGACCAGATATCCATGGCAAACTTCCAGACACAGGCTGCGACGGTGGCCTCCACCCTGGTGGATGGCAGCAACACCCTCGTCTCGGATGTGTTTATGAACTCCAATGAGACCAAGGACGAGCTTGATTTCCTCATGTCCGATGTTATACAGCAGATAACCCAAGGGGATCAGTACAAGCCACCAGCCAAGGCCCATCCCGAGGATGACTCTCATCGGCAGACCAACTATGCCCAGCTGAACACATCTTTCCTGCTGCAGCCAAAGCCACAGCGGCCCGAGGAACCACAGAAGCTCGAGAGGCCACAAAGCCCCGGCGTGGTAAACAAAGTGGAATTGGAGACGACAACGGAGAAGCAGCAACAGGAGAGCACAACCCTCAAACAGGAAGCCACTTACCCGAGCGACGCCTTTCCAGCAAGTCCCGTCCACGTGGAGACGAGCACGCACCGGATCCCCATCCTTTCGCTGTCCCAAATTTATGCACAGCAACAGCAGGATGAGGATGATGAGCAGCAACTGTTTACCAACGAACGACTGGACCTGCAGAGCCCGCAAGCGAAACCAACTCAAGTGCCGGCCAAGCAGGAAGCCATTCCGATTCCCATCACCATCACCAACCCCATTGTAGAGGAGCCCGCAGGAGCCACAACAGACACTACAGAGACTACAGACGCTTCCTACACTACGGGTGCCGCTGAAGCCATCACTGAGCGTATGCAGTCAGATGAGTTGAGCCAGGAGACCTCGGCCAGCGAAGAGTCAACGACCAACACCAACACCATCACCAACATTGTCGAGAGCTACACGGAGCGCAGCGAAAGTGAAGAGCAAATGCCCGAGATGTTGACAAATGGTTACAACGAGCAAATTCTGATGGAGACCAGCTCCAGCTCCAGCACAGGTCCGTCCGGCGAAGGAATGGAATCCATCTTTACCACGGAAAAGACTGCAACGGAAGAACCAACAACGGACGCGACCACCACCAGCAGCAGCAGCTCTGTCACGGAAGCAGCCCTGTCAGAGGAGCAGACAACGGCGACAAATGTTTACCTGGATACAGATGATGCAGAGGATGCAGAGGAGCAAACATCAACATCGGAGCAGCAGCTACAGACAGAGGAGGAAGCACAAACAGCAGATCTGCCAGCCAGTGCGGAGGACAGTGCCATCAACGCGGCCCAACTCCTGCCCCAATATTCCGCACAGCCAGTGGATGACCAAGACCAATCAGAACAGCAGCAAGAGGAGAAGGTGGTGGTGGTCACAGAAATTCCCGGAGATACGTCCGTGGTATCATCTGAATCGGACATGTCGCTCAGCTCCGAGCAGGTCACGGAAAAAATCGAATTGAGCACGGTGAAGTCTCAGCAGCTGGACGACGAGTCAATGGAGGAAATATCTGATGAGCTGACAGCTACCATTTCAGAAGAGCAGGACCAGGAGCAGGAGCAGGATGCAGAGGGCTCACCAGAGTCAGCGACAGAGACAGATGCGGTGACAAGTGCACAGAAATTGCAGCTTGACGACGAGGATCCATATGTGAAGCTGGGCGAGACGACGGCCAGTGTGGTGAGGCCGCTGCCCCAGCAGGACAAAAGCTCCATAGAAGGAGGCCCAGAGGAAGACTCCTACAAGGTGTCTCTGCCCTTGGCCAGCTATGGCAATCAGCCAGGGGACCAGTCAGATGAGGAGGATGAGGATGATCAGGCAGGCTATCAGAGCTCCACCAAAGCGTCCACCACGACAACAACTCCCACAACAACCAGCACTACGAAGCGCTTAAATACCTTGAAGCCGGTTTCTTACTACGTCCAGCCCTCACTTCTGACAGGCTACAACCAACTAGACAACCAGCCTCCAAAGGGTCTGCCCTACAATGCCAACAATGGAGGCCAGCAATTGCTGTCCTCCCAGTCTCAGTCCCAGTCGCAGCAACGACCGATGCAGAGACCCGCCTCACTGACCAATCTGATGGCAAGTTCAACACAAGCCACCAGGCCGCCAGTGAAGCTGGAGCCAAGTCCGGAATCCTCGCAGGGTCTGGAGGCATCCACGGCGCACATGGACGAGGACCTGCACTCCTTCGCGAGGCTCTGCAACGAGCTGGCCTTTAGCTACTGGAAGGCCATCACCTCGGAGAAGATAAGCTCGGCCAGGAGTCTGGTCATATCGCCATTCGCCCTGACCTCCATGCTGTCGATGGTGTTCCTGGGAGCACGCGGCAGCACCTCTGGGGAAATGAACGAGATCCTCAAGCTGGACGACATGGTGACCTTCAATCCGCATCTGGTCTTCAAGAACATAACATCTTCGGTGGAGCAGGCGATAGACAGCGACATAGCCACGGCCGCCTTTGTGCGGGAGATCTTCAGCGACCGCGCCAACGGCAAGATCCTGCCCTTCTTCAAGGAGAAGACACAGCAGCTGTACGCGGGTCACGTGGAGGAGGTCAACTTCCATGTGGTTAACGACATTGTGAGACGGCGCACCAACCTGCTCGTCAAGCGGCACACCATGGGCAAGGTGCTGGAGTATCTTCGGACAAACAGCGTGTGGGTCAATGGCCCTCTTGCTACCATTTCGGCTAATCTATTCCAGACAGACTGCTCCCACGGATCCACGAGCGAGCGGGATGGGGAGATGTTCTTCCAGGTGCATCCCACTGTGCGCCAGCGCCGCTTGGTGCCCATCCCAGCCGTGCTCTATCGGTCCGGCTTCACCGCTGGCTACGAGCCAAAGCTGGACGCCACCATCGTGGCATTCGGGCGCATCCAGGACACAGTGAGTACCATCTACGTAATGCCCGGCCACCAGAGCTCCATATCGCCTATGGACAATCTGGACAGACTCGAGCGCAACCTAGTAGACATGGCCTTTGGGGAGGCCCAGACCTGGAGCAGGCTGCTCACCTCGCTCATGGATCGCCCTGGAATGGAGGTGCAGCTGCCGCGCTTCTCGCACCGCTCCTTTGTGAATGCCTCGCTGGGGCTGCAGAAAATGGGCCTCAAGGGTCTGTTCAAGTCGGACTTTGCCGATCTGCGGGGACTGACTGGGGCCGGGAACAAGGACATATTCCTGTCCGACATGATACAGATCAACACATTCAGCACCTGCGGCGAGGAGAAGATCTCCGAGCACCACCACGTGGAGATGTATCCTGCTCCTCCGCTGCGCAAGCGAAACAAAGATGTGGAGAGCAGCGATGACGATGCCTACGACTCCTCGGAGGCTGCGGTCGACTTTGGCTCACTGGTACAGGAGTCGGCCCTGGGACGCGGCTTCTACGACGATCTGCTGGACCCGAAGTATCTGGAGCTGCCGTTGCCGCTACGTCCGCGCCAAGCGCGTGTCCCGGACGCGCCCCGGCTCCGCTTCGACAAGCCGTTCCTCTACTTCGTCCGCCACAACCCCACGGGCATGATACTCTTCATGGGACGCTTCAACCCGCGCCTCCTGCCATGAGTGCACGCGCCCTAAAGTAAGATAAAATAGCGACTATCAAGCAGTTTTCTTGTTGAATCCGGGAAAGTGAGTTAGTGAATTTACTATATACATATTTTACTCGTAGCTGCCTACTGAAATGCCAACCATTAGGCTAACTTAATCATTAATGAATGCCCTTTGCTGTGCCTTAATCCCGTGTCGTCCCGGAACCGGAACCGGTCCGATCCGATACGATCCGACCTAGGATCGTACTCGATACGAGATTGATGCGCAGCAAACGATTATGTTTGCCATCCGGTCCCCCCGATTACCCAGAGTAACAATATTAATCAGAAATGTTTCTCAACTGTTTTAAAAGCATTCTGCACCAATTCATTCACAATTGCTAGCGTTCGAGTTTGGGATTTTCTTCATGCATCCCGCGCATATTCATATTTATATTCAAAAAATACACTTTTTATCCCGACAAAATGCAAATGTAATAGCAATCGTGGAATGCGTCAATGTTTTGGCAACTGAACAAATGTAATTTAGTAAAATAAACCGTACCAATACGTAAACTAAAAGTTATGTATGCTATTATCTAAGCCTAAACGAAAAACTTTAAATAAATAAATATAAATATTACAAAACAACTCTCGTCATGGTAGAGGCATTTGATTCAATCGAGGAATGTTCAATGCAATCGAAGAGACAAATATTGAAGCTTGTCCAGAACTATAAATCATCCATTTCTGCATTTACTGAATGTCCAAGTATCAATTATTAAGAAGAAGTTTAATAATTGGGCAAGTGGTAAACAAGCATCCAGGGTAAAGTCTGGAGTCAAAGTCAAATCAGGAACATTTTCTAGATACGAGTATTAACCCTTTTGAATGGCTCACAATAAAACCACTTATGAGGAAAATTAAGGGAAAATGCAGTCCAAATTGACGAAACATGATATTTGCCATTCAAGGCATGCATTTTAATATCTACCCATTGCAATGGGTATCAATGCATTGACAAGCCTAGGGGATCCTGCTGAAAGTGCACTGATGGCCCCACACAAAAGCGGTCTAAAATCAAAGCAGGCAGACAGAAAAACAGTGTGTACGCTCGCATATTTTAATTAATATTTAACAGGAATATATGTATGTAAGAGAGGCTTATAGTAAAATCGGTCCATTTCACTTTTGCTCGTGTTGGATTCTGCTTTTACGTGTACATATGTAGGTACATACCTATGTGTACCTATGAGGAGTCGCTGCGAGCAACTTTGATAGAGTTTGGCTCCTGTTTGGAAATTATTTTCGCTTGGGTTCTGCATACCCTTCCAGAAGGCTTTATGACTCTCCACAAATATGTCCTGGTTTGATATTGGTCCCTAATTGCAGAGAGGGTATCTAAAAATTCATCTTTCAACCATTCGTCGTTTCTCTCTTGTTAGATTTTTTACAGATGTTGTTGCTGTGTTTGGTAGGAGTCGGACCGGGTGCGGCAGTAGATGTCGAAGTGGAAGGCTGCTCTCTTGCATCCTGCTCTCCCAGAGCTTTTGTTCGTGTTACTCTTGTTGGTCTTGTTCTGTCGGGTTTTATGCGGTTTTTGCAGCTCACACGTGCCAGCGCGCGTACCAACACATGTACACAAATGTGTATGCGAGTAAATATGCATGTTGCATGTGGCAGGTTGGGATGCATGAACAAAAAATCTCTGAAACAAGAAGCATACTTTTAGGCGGACCCAGCAAAACTCCCAACAATTGCCAGCCAGCCAACTGTGAAGAATGAAAAGGGCAGAAAAACCATCAAAACGAACCAACAACTAACGACTGCTTAGTGTCACCCCTGAGGATGTGAGGATGCGAGGATGCGAGGATGCGAGGATCCAACCGGCCGTCAGCGGTGTCAATGTTTTCCAAATAGACCATACACACGTCTGTGGCCAGATTATCCAGCTCTACAGTCTACAGTGTACAGTCTGTGCCCTGCAATAGCAGGATAACAGGGCCGATGCGATGAATGCAAAACGCAAAAAAGCATGGGCTCCACACACACTTTATTATGCCACTAATTTGTCATGCGAACTGGGAGTCTCAGCGCTTCTGCACCGTACAACACTCAAGTGCAACTTATTTCGTACTTTTGGCGGCAGTTGTGAGGCTTCCGCGCACCGTTTCCGGAAAAGAAACATCTCTCATTGTGCCCAGCGGTTGTTGTTATGATGATTGTTATTATGATTGCATATTGTATAATAAGAAAAGTATTCCTTCATCTTTCCCTTTTGCGCTGCAGTACTCGGCTGGACAATGTTGCGACAGCTGTTGGTCTGCCTGCCTCCCTCCCTTCCTCCACTGGCCGTAGGGGAGCTTATTGTAATTGTTGTTCAACGAACTTTTCCCTTTCCTTTCCTTTTCTTTACTTTAATTTCCTTTTCCCTTACCATTTTGCGTGTTTTGCGTTGTCCAAGGGTGCTGTTTCGGCATCGGATATGCGCAGTCGGATAGGATGCCTTGCTCCTTTTGTTTTTCTTAATGCATTGTAAGGAGTGTGTTGCTGTCTTCGTTGGCACCTGCCGAAATTACGTAAGTGCCACTCGAAAAGGGAAAAAGCAACAAGGCGACAGTGACAAAAGAGCCGGGCGCCCGTCCGAACCCTTTCAAGTACACTGCTTTGCTTTTGTTGCCCTCCTATTGTTGGCAATCTCCTTATTATATTTGCATTATACTGTTGCCGTACTTTTCTTCCTTGTGCTGCCGTTTTAATTATATGACAAACATTTCCCGGATGCCTGTCAACATACAGTACCGTACCGTACCGTACATGTATGTGTACAGGTAAATGGTTTTGGTTAGTTTGGTGGCACATCTAATGAGGTTTTTTTAGCGAGCCGTGGGCGAAAATAAAACTAAAATCAATATGCGCACAACTCTCCACACGCGCTCCAGGAAGGAGAAAATTGTTGCACGTCTAATGAACCAGCAACAACAACGAACCACAGTCGGACAACTCTTCGCTACAAAAAAGATACTAATTAATTTACATTAGCAAATTGCAAACGTGTAACAAACATTTTTTATTAGCACATACACCGCTTTGCCATGACAACCCACGGCTGCAAACCCACGTGGCTCAAAGCGCACAAATTTATCTAATTGGAAGCTATGGATAATGAGATTAATTCATTAGCTAGAACTAAAGTTCGTTATGTTGACTTGGCAACCTGTTTAAAAGAGCACTCAAGAATCTTTTGCAAACTTCCAAGTTATAGAATGGAAAATAATTTAGGGGAAATCTTCTTTGGCCATTGAAGCTTTTCCTAAAAATCTTCTATAATACAGCCCAACAACAATCCCGTTTATGCAGTCAGCTCGGGTATCAGGAATTTGCATTTTCTATTTAATTTTCCAGAGCTCGAATGCATCCCCCACAAATCCTTCGGCTCGGCACAGAGGAGCACAGCACAGCACAATTTCCAAGCCAAGCATTTGTCCAGACAACTGGGGAACGATAATTCGAAGAAGAGAAAATGGCATCAGGAACAACAGCAGTGCCAGTGCCAGTGTCAGTGTCAGAGACAGAGCCAGAGCCAGAGTCAGTGCCAGCAATGAAGAAAGCGAACGCAACACTCCAAGGATTAATTTGAGCGCGGAAAGTGAAAACGCAGTTTCAGTTTTCCCCGCAGCAGAACAGAGCAGCGGCAGAGACATGAAATTTATGTTATATACTTGTAGCATTATGTGTTTGCGGGCGTGGAGAGCAGTGAAATTGGGGCAGCCGTAGAATCAGCGACGCAGACAAAATCAGAGAAGCAGTCAAGCATTGGCTCTGAACTAGATACGGCGCAAAGCAGACTCCCTGAGATTTTAAAATGAAATCATTAGCAGGCAGCTGCGTCTGGCTAACGTATGATATATGTATGTATATTGAATCTGACCAGACCAGACTAGACATGACAAGCCAGCAAACATGCATCGAGTGTGTCCATGCAGCTCCCACTCACTCGGGCAAACAGGGAGCTCCCTTTGTCCCAGCTTCCATGCATGCGGCTAAAGCAGGCAGCTCGGCATGGGGCCAGGAGCCATATTCAGGATCCAGGGCCCATCCAGGAGTCTGTGTCCACATCCCCGCCTACGGCTGCGGGCCTGTAACAACAGAAACAAGGACAAGGACATGCACGAACCACACACACAAAAGTGGTTTCTAAACTAGTTTTTGTTAGCTGCGCTGCTGCGATGCTCAGTCATTCGATGGTCAGTCTAAATCCACTACAATCCCATCTTCGTTATACCCTTTCCAGATACTTGCGCAACTTTCCTGCCCAAAGGGAAGAAGAATTCTTGATTAAAAATATAAAACTGAGTTGACAAGACTAGCTAGCAATGAATCTGGCTAATGGAAATCCTCTTTTCCTACCCAATATAAGCCGCTGTGGGAAAAATAAATTTATAATTGTTTTCCTATATCCGCTGGATGCATATGCTGATACAGCGAGGGTATCCGTGCGTATGGGAATGGTCACTTCCTGTGGGTATCTGGATGGATCTTGCATGTTCTGCCCCGCACCACAAACTCTGATTTAATTTTTCGAAAATTGTAAAATGTTCCTTTTTCTGTTATGTTCTGGTGTGATCCGCTCCGTGCCGTCCCATTCTGTTCTCCTGTGTTCTGCATTTAAAATTAGTCGCTTGTAGTCGCTGCGGTTGTCGCCTTTGTTATTTCTGTAATCGTTGTTATTATTCCTGTTGCTTTGCTGATACTGCTATTCTTGTTTGCGGACCTACCGTTCTAGTTTTTCAACTATTTTGCAGCCTGTTTTGTAATTAAGTTAAACATTGGAAGCTGACTGTCCGCCACAATGCCATTTAAGCATCATATGTGCGGTATGTGAATCAATTAGTCGATTCTTGCCGTTTTCCTCCCAAAATATTTCTACAAAAATGTGGAAAATTATCCGATTACATTTGCCCAACAATTAAAGGCTAATAGAAATCACAATGAATACAATCTCTCCACGTGTAATGATCTACGAGTCGAAATGACAATAAATCAGAGAGGCTAGAGAGATGTATGTATGTATATACATTTTTTCACATTGTTCAGCACATTGTTCAGTACAAAAACAAAAAGTTACAAGAAAATAATTTTATTTTTGCGTTAGTAATTCTTGTGTATAAATCCCGTTAATTAAAAGGCAATGAAACATTGCAATTGGCAAACAATCAGAAACACCATACAGTTTTCTAATTAGAGATATATAAATTCTTTGCACTTTTGCTTCCGCTTTGCCGCTTTGTTTGTGTGTCCATTACATATTATCTTTTGGCATTTATGTTCACTGGAAGTGCATGACGCTGGTACGTTTTGCACTGGGGTTAAAATTTATTGCGGTAAATTGCAGCGATAAAACGAATACGAATCTAATCACAAACGAACACAGTAAGAGAGGGTGTAAAGAGGGAATGGCCAACAGGGAAGAACAATAACACATCAAAACAAGTAATTGAACGGCAGTCAGCACAGACATCCCGACTTTAAGATACTTAAAACAAAAAAATAATTTTTTTGGGGATTTGCAAGTTATTTTTACCAAGTGTTATGTGTAGGAACAGGAATTGGTACCACTTTACCTTAAGA